ATAGTCTCGAGGAATAAGACAGGTATGGGCTTGGGGCATCTCCACTGTGCTGCACCAGACGCTCATATACCTACAGGAAATATCAAATCCTTCATGTGCAAGACAGCTGCAAACTCTTCACACACAGAGTCCAATGACCTGCCCTGGGATAATGTCAAAAGTGGATAGTCATAGGTATAAGTATTGAATGAGCACGTCATACCCTGAGAAGAGAGTAAAGCCAAGGAGCACTAAGGAGACTGTACAGAAGATCGGCACCGTTAATGTCTCTGTCTATGGACAGTCTCACTTCCTCTACCACTTCTGTCAAGATCTGAGCCAAACCTACATCTGTGAAAGAGAACAAGACTCAGTTTTCTGTAGTATTTGATTTGCTGGTTTACCTTTGTGCATGTCAAGGTACAACATCACTGCTCTGTGTATTTGCAAAGACGCACCATTGTCATCATGTCCAGGTTGCATCACTGGATCCTCCTCCATTGATTGCCGCAGGACAAATTTCTCTGTTCATCAGATCACTGTAATCCTATAAAACAAATCAATGTTAAGAGTACAAGGGTGCAATCTACATTTCTGCTGTAGAATTATAAATTATAAGTGCAAAACTGGCAGAACCATTGCACGTTGGCTACAAATGATGTTTTAAAGAAACAAGAATGTTTGCTTTAAAAAAAAAAACTTAAGCTTCAACTGGTCATTTTGATTCCGTATTCCTAACATTTTCAAGTGCCTCTAACTGAAAATAAATTAAAATAACCTAACGAGAAGGAAGGATTATTTAGGAAAAAATTGAATGAAACAAAGCAATGTCAACAACAAGAACATAATTTGCATTTCTGCTGCAGAATCATAAATTATGAATTATGAGAGCAAAACTGGCAGGAACGTTACAGAGTTAGCTGATTGCAGTGTTTTAAAGTACAAACTATAATAGCTTCTATTTGTCATTTTAATGAACGATTACGAACACATTTAAGTGTCTCAAACTAAAAAATTACACATTATAAAAACATATTAAAATACATAAATTAGAATAAAAAAGTTCTAATAAAAATACACATGCTTCAAAAGAAACCTATCTACTTTATAGCCTTTATTCTGGAGATAGCCTATGTTAGATATAATAATATAACGGTTAGTCAGTGTCTTTTGTTAGAAAGATTGTCTACAATACAATTAAAACATCTCAAATGGAAGTCATCTGGAAACTGTTTCATCCATTTTAAGAATGAAATTACACATCGATTGTGATCTCTGAACTCTGCTACAAAAGCAGGTCAAGAGGCCGTCATGTGAAGATTAGATTATGATGCTACACTTACCTTCTTACACTCCTGCCACTGTTTTCCTCCAAACCACACTGAGGCTTCTTCATCCTACGTTTAGACCAGGTAGCTGTGGAGCATCTTGTCAGTTTAGCTTTATATTAAGGTGATCTTCTGCTTCTGGCCTGACAACATGCATGTTATTTTACTATAAAATGTCTCTAGAAACTCAGATTGTAATCCTTTTCTATCCCACTTAATCCTGCGAGGGGCCGGCCTCTCTCGGCGAGCACTTCCATAGGACCGCCTGCCACTCAAAGCTTCTTACCTCCTCCTGCTTTTAGAGCTCCATAGACACACTCACACTTACACAATACGGCCCTACCAACTTTACAGAAAAAATGGAAAATAAGAATCATAAAAAAACATCACATAAATAAAAAAAAAACTCATGACATTATCATTACACAATAGACAAAGATAAAAACACAATGCCAGTCGACTTAACTTAATAACAATTGCAATCAAATGAATAGACACTAAATAGACAGAAAAAAACATTTCATGAAGCAATGAGCATTATTTTAAAGGAACGGTTCATCCAGAAACTCTCAGGCCATCCAAGATGAAGAGGAGTTTATTTCTTCATCCAAAAAGATTTGAAGAAATTTAGCATTACATCACTTGCTCACTATTTGATTCTGTGCAGTGAATGGGTGCCATCAGAATATGAGCATAAACAGCTGATAAAAACATCACAATACGACGTTACAAAAGTCTAATACAGGTTTCTAACAAACAAATCAATCATTAAGGTGTTTTTAACTTCAAACTGCTGCTTCCGGCTAAAATATGAGTCTAACCATAGTATTGCTTTCTTCTGAAAAAGTTGTCTCGTCTGAATTAGGAGAGAAATACACACAGATCAAGAACTCTTTACAAGCAAAAACACTCCAAAACAGTTCTAAACAAATATGTTGGTGTATTTTGATGTGAGAGGACAACGGGGGATGGACTAAAAGTTATTATGGACTTGTATTTTGGTCAGAAGTGAGAAAAACGTCTTGATAAATGTGTTTCTTACAAATAAGCAGCTTTTCATTTCACAAGATGTTAATTGATGGACTGGAGTTGTGTGGATTACTTGTGGATTATTGTGATGTTTTTATCATTTGTTTGGACTCTCATTCTGATGGCACCCATTTACTGCAGAGGATCCATTGGTGAGCAAGTGATGTTATACTAATTTTCTCCAAATCTCTTCTGATGAAGAAAAAAAAAATCCTCATCTTCATTTTGGATGGCCTGAAGATTTTTTCAACTGTAAAAAAGTCTGAGCTATAATCCAGGACATCACATTGCTGATAAGTCACAGATGTTACTTTACCAGCACTAATGGTCTTAAATTGAACCTCATCAACTCTTTCTGTTATCTATATTATTATCAGTTCATAACTATACAAGCAAGGTGAAGGAAAGGAAAATGACAACATAAGGTTTATCTCCCAGTTATGCCATTTTTTATTAAAACAGTGAAAGTAGTCTGCCAGAAAACTGTTTACAAAACAGTTCAATTATTGCTTTTTCATATGATTTCAATTACAAATTGTGTTGTCAAACCGTGTTGAACAAATTCATTTTCAAGGTGACAGTACATTTAGATCAACAATGACAGTAATTTATCAAAACCAGTAATCTTCTGAAAAAAATAAAATAAAAATCAGCCTTTATATTTAACAGTAAAGGTGCGGTTGTCTTTTTAATCTTCATATGCAATCCTTAGCCAATGACAATGACCTAACTAGTGACAAACTGAAATACTGGGAGGAAGATTAATCAGACAATAATATAATTTGCAAATAATTAGCTGGTTGTAATTTTTGGATATTCAAAGATTTTTAAAAAATTTAGAAAATTATTCTATAAAGTTATTGTTTGTTTCATTTCTTATTAGCAAGTCATATATATGCACATCCTCCAACCAGATCTTACAACAAGGCTGTGTGACATCAGCAAAACTCAGTGCATGTTCAAATGTACAAAAGATTCATTTAGAGGAAAACACACGCACACACACACACACACACACACACACGCGCACACACACGCGTGCACACACACACACACACACACACACACACGTGCACACACACAGATTCATGAATAAAGGCATTCGTGAAACAAGCAAAATGTGAAGGTTATTGCTACTTTTTCCAGTGCAAAATACTACATGCTGAGGTCCTTTAGGGGCCCTGCCATTTAAATTTGTACTCCCTTATTGCATAGTGTTGAATGCCACATCTTTAGTCAACAGCAAATAGGCATAAAAAAATATTACTTTAGTCTTCAGTGTATTAGTTCTAAAAATTTCTTAAATTCACTCTGATACAGCTTGATAAGACTAGATAATATAATTACAACTAAATCAAATTTCATACAGTAAAAAGTTTCACGTCATGCTGAAATGGAAACCACTTCTCAAAATACCCATGGTGTTTCAAAGTTACACAGATGGATTATACATGTAAATTTTAAAATACAACTCAATATTGTTTGACTTTACATGTAGGGGCTTCAATAACACTATTAAGTCAAAAATCTCTACTTGCAGTTTATAATACCTACATCGCATTCGCAAGACTTCAAATTTATTTATGTGCAAAATGGCAACAAAACCAGTAACCCAATAAAAAAACTACACTGTACTTATTACTAGGGATGCAGCTTTAGGATTTCTTTTAGTTTTGATTACAAGTTAAAAGTAGCGATACTATGAACTTGTTTACATTTTTCAGTAGGGTGACAGTAACTATTTTCAAAGCGTTTGCAGTAACAAGTTATGTTTTCTAAAAACTGATGCCACTGCTTTACAACGGTGCAAATGAACAAAATAGCACATGCTGTCTCCTTGAATCTCTCTCTTAAAAAGCACCGGAAAGCCTGACTCATTTTAGTGAATTTCCTAAAGCCAGTGATAATGAACCAAGTTCCTTAAGAAGGATAATTTTTGTACACTACCGTTCAAAAGTTTGGGATCAGTAAGAAATTTTGAAAGAAATTAAAACTTTTATACAGCAAGGATGCAGTAAATTGACTAAAAGTGACTGAAATTTTCAACAGTAAGCACAAAATTTTAAACAGCATAACTGTTTTCAGCACTCATAATAATAATAAATATTTCGTAAGCAGCAAATCAGCATATTAGAATGATTTCTGAAGGATCATGTGACACTGAAGACTGGAGTAATGAAAATTCAGCTTTGCATAGCAGAAATAAATTATATAACAAAAGTTATTTTAAATTGAAATAATATTAAATTTGAAATAATATTACTTCTTTTGCTGTATGTTGATCAAATACATGCTGCATTGTTAAGCATAAGATACTTTTTTTTTTTCAAAAAACATAAAAAATAAAAATAAAAAAAACTTGCCGACAGTAGTTTAGGTATGGGTTTTCTATAGCAAAATATTTGACATTTATTGCTGTTGCTTATATAAATAAGGGTGGTTTTAGTTTATTACTGTATTTCTATACAGGGTAAATGTATTTGTTAAAGTCACTGTCAATCCGAGAGAATTCATTCAAAACCCCTCATTGTTTTTTTGTGTAAGTTCTGATATTTGAGTATCAGTACAAAAGCCAGAGACAGATTGATACAGAATATTATATATAGTAACGAGTGTCAGTTATTACCAAAATTGCATTTAATAATAACCTTAGTGACACATGCGGAGTGTTTATTCTGCTATCTTGTATAAAACAGAAAAAGTCTCTTTTCTGCCCAGGTAATGTGGGTGTTGAAATGTACTTGAATGTTTTTTCAAGGGGTAACTTTACTGTCAGTCAGATGGTCAATGTGAGAGTCTCAACAGTTATAACAATTGAAGTAATCTCTGTAGAACAGTGCTTAAGAGAGATGAATGGAAAGTGAGCTTATTTCTGAGACCTGAAATAAATAAGCACATCTTGACTTGACCTGTAATCCGTGTCTATTTAAATGGCACCTACTCCGTAAGACCACTCACAAACCAACCCCTCCTATGTCGTCTTCTCAAGCTGAATCTGGTTGTAGCAAGCCTAAGGGCAGAGATAAACAGCCAGAAAGAGATTAAAGTAAAACATGGAAGAGAATGAAAGGGGACCAGTGATTGTGTGTGATGAGATTATCCTTAAAATTCATCAAATCCTTAAAGGGGTCATCGGATGCGACATGCACTTTTACAAGTTGTTTGAACTGAAATGTGTGGAGGCAGTGTGTGTACACAACCACCCTATAATAATAAAGATCCACCCAGTGTTTTTTTAATCTCGTTAAATCATTTCCCTGACCGATTAATACAATCAGTTAAACGGTTTAAAGAGTCATTTATTTTATTTTTTTTGTAATTCATCAAAATATTTAAAAAGATTTGCTGCATGGTTAAAATACTCTACATGTATAAAAAATGGTGTTTTTAGAGAAAAAAAAAAAACACACAAGTCACGTATAAGTCGCATTTTATTATTTCATTCAGAAATAGGCCTAATGCGTATTCGCGATGTATTTGAATGACAAATTATTATTTATTATGTAGCCTACTTCACTCGCGCTCCAATATCTACGTGAAACAAAATGTTTTGCATAACATCACGGTGGTATGGTGATAGCACTTAACGGCACAGATTTGACTACATATTTAAACTGAGCAGTGTGTTTTTTTTTCCAGTATTGCTTTATTGCATTTAAATGTTGTTATAAGAAAAATGTTATTAAACCTGTTATACTGTATTATGACAGCACTATTTTAAACTAAATTTCAATATCGTGATAATACCGAATACCATAATAAAAGCATTAGCAATTAATCGCAACATGAAAATTTGATACCGGCATATCCCTAGCTGCAGGTGCGTAATGTGATATGAAGACCATGTGAATCCTCATGTTCTGTTGTTTGCTGCTTTTTGCGCATGTAAAATTAATCCCTGGGAAACAAATTTTAGTATTTTTAACGGGTCACAGACACTTATCCTTTCTAATTTAATTCAATTCTAATCGGTTAACGAGCGCCGGTTGTCGGTTAGGAAAAATAACCGAAATGAACATCCCTAGTTGTGTTCGTAGTTAAAAATGTGTGGAAAACATAATTATCAAGATACTGAATATTTTGTCAAAAAGTTTTTGGGCAGTATAGTTCTGCCCTAATTCACAATAATCATCTTTGCATGCTGAACACAACTGACCCAATATCAACACATTTGATAGTTGAAATTTGTTTAATAATTAGGTGTAGACAAGAATGACTCCTAAGCGATTGAGGTGTTCTGTTGTTAAATGTAATAATGAACATAGCAGTCGTCATTTACTCCCGACATCTGAGTCGCTGAAGACGCAGTGGATTACGTTTGTTTTTGAAGGGAATGCGCCCCCGATCTACCTAAATGCGCTTATGTTCACGCAAATCATATGTGATCCAGCTTCACCTACAGAAGAAGTGAGTGTAAGGTTTTTTTAATGAATATTTGCAAATTGCCTTTCCTAATAATGTGCTAGTTAGCAAGTTTCACAACAAATGCAGTTAAAGTTTACCGTCTCTCAAAGAGCGGCTCAGAAGAGAGGGGCGGGGCGAGCAGAGCTCATTTGCATTTAAAGCGGCATGCAAGGAAACAGCTCGCTATGAAAAGAGCTGTTTTTGACAGGGAAAAAAAGAGTGTTGTTTTACACTACCATTGAGAAATTTTAACCAAACTATGTTACAGACTATTCATTAAGACCCTAAACAATCATAACAACTTGTGGAAAATGGGCATCTGATGATCCCTTTAAAGACTTTAAAAGGTCATGTCATACATTTATTATTCAGATTCAAGTTCAGAAATTTACATTAAGCTTTCAAACTAAGAATTTAACAAGCCTAATCTTAAATAATCAAGGTAAAAATTTATATTCTAACGACATAACCTTATGATTTTATAAGTAATAATGTTATTTGTACCTGAAGTTGTGTGAAAAAAAAAAAAGAAAATATAATTTAATTCTCACCTTGAGAGTTGTCAACATGAATCCAAGCTGTCCCAGCTGTAGACTGGGGTCTGTAAGGTCCTCTATCAGACTCACTTCAGAGCCCAGGTTTCTGATCCTACACATTCACAAGTGACAGGTTCTTTACGTGGGCAGACAAACTGCACATACATTAATGTTTCAACTGATAACTTTATTGCCAATAAGTCCATATGCAGTGAAAGGTTTATAAAAGTACCGTGCGCGGAGCACCACATAGAGGAAGATTGGAAAGAGGTCATCCATGCACCACAGAAAATCTTGCCCAAGCAGAGCCTGCATGTCCTGGGTGATCTCCTCAAAGGTCAGCTGTATCACCTGCAACTTGTCTGAGGGAGTGAATGCTGTGCTGTAGAAGCAAAAATAAAAATAGAAAGGAGATAGCTAATGAAGTGTTCCTGTTGTTGTTTTCTGCCTTTGTTACACACATGACTATCTTTACCTGATCTGTTGCAGGGTTTCAACAGCAGTTGCAAAGCAGGCGTCTTTAGTACAAGGCAAGACCTGTCCATTAAAATCGATTAAACCAATAAAGTTATATTTTACCATCAGTGTCATTACTGATTATTTTCTTAGAAATGACAGAAAGCATTACCTGCTTTTTCTCTCCCAATACAGAGATAGAAACTGGGCAGAACTTTCTGGAAAACAAAATGACATTGATTCAACTCAACATTGTAAAAACCACCGTCCTTCCTGGCCTGGGGCTTTGATTGGTTATTACTGTATATGCAGGGGCCACAAAAAGTATTTGCACGCTTATGAAATTAAATGTTTATATGCTTAAAAATAGCAAAAAAACACATTTAATTTCATTGGGTTTGAAATATTAAACATAGCAAATATAATATTGCCTTTTGCATGCATAATGCCTTATAAAAACGTATTTTGTATGATCTCATGAATAATCATAACACAAGTTATAATAAATTTTAATACTGGTTATCATTTTTAAGTGAATGATTACTTTTAACACATGATTAACACATTATATCCAAGTTACCATTATAGTTTCTATGGTTATAATGTATTATGAGTCTCATATCTTGACATTTTTGAAGTTTAATGTCTTGTAACCATCTCATAGTATCTTATGGCTGTTTAAGAATAGACAAAACCTTGGTTACTTTACTAAAATCAGACAATGAACACTTTGAAATGATTATGACCACATTATAAAGCCTTTTGGATTACAAGAAGACTTTGTCAAGATAAGGGACTAACAATACATTACAAATATGGGAACTATACTCCATTATAAGTTAAGTGGACATAACATGGTGTTTATTACGTGTTATAATTCATCATACTCTTTAAAGGTATAACCACAAATAGGTCAGAAAAATAATATTAAAACTGTCATTACGATTTTTCATGAGATGATACATACAAGTTTTTTTTTTATTATTTTCATAAGGCACTATGCACGCATTATAATAAAGTAAGAATACTCTTATAAATGCACTGCATTATAAATAGTCTTCATAGAAAGTGCTGACTGACTACTGCAAATTGTGAAAGTGAATCGACTACTAATGCATTTTTGCAATGCCTTCTAATTAATTACCAAGGACATGATATTTTGGTGTCCAAATATCATATATCAAATATATCCATTGTTTCATCAACCAAACTTCTTTTCATGATGTCCTATTTGAAAAAAGTTTTTGTGCCATATGTTTAACATGAATGCCAGTTAGTTTGATATTTTCCATGTACTGCAATGACTTAAGTGTCCAAATACTTTTTAGGGTCAGTATAAATGTATCATAAACACTGTAAAAGAATAATATTTCATATGGTACTGTTACTATTGTCACTTACTGTTGTACTCCAAGGAAGGCTAGAAGAGCAAGATCAGGCTGCTTGTTGAGTCTTAACACACAGTTCCAGTACACCTCCTCCTCTCTCTCTTTCTCTAGTGTGTAGAGAGTGAAGAGAGGAGGGTAAAGCCTCGGCAGCAACACCGGCAGGATAAGACTTGAGCTGCTCACTAACCAACTGCAGTAACACAACACAAGACTGTCATACTTTCAGAAAGTAACTATATCCATCTATTGTATACATCTATTTATCTTCTGTGGTAAGAGCGATTTTTAAAGAATTGAAACATTTATTCAGCAAGGATCCATTAAAATGATCAAAAGTTACAGTAAAGAGATGTACAATGCTACTAAAGATTTTTAAATATATAATAGATCGACAATAGATAATAGATAGATCTGAGTAAATTTAACTTAATGTAATGTAATGCAACTAAAAAGTGCGAAAATCAGAAATAACAAAACAGTAGTCGAGTGACAGTGATGCTGTCTTACCCCTGCTGTGGTGTTTCTGAATGTGTACTGCTGTTAAGAGACTCTGTGCCCTCATCTGAGGAACTGGAAGAATCCAAAATAAAACCTCCATCCTCAGGGAGACCAGGAAACAGAAACCTGCAGCACATATTTGTAACACAAATATTTGAAAAACAACAACCTACTTAATATTCCTTATAAGGTTATAAGGAATATCAAGTATGCAGTGGTCTCTGAGACTGTAATGAAATGAACAGTATACCTCATTATTACATTTAGCCGAGTTCATTAAGTAATGAAGTAGTAAAACTAAAAGAAGAACAGAACCTTCACAACAAGTCAAATGATTCCTATGAGCTTTGCAAAATGCTCTGCTGGCTTTTAAAGCACTAAAGGTTTCTGGTAACTCATATTGAAGCATGAGAAGTGTTACCTGACTATTTTAAATATGCGCGTTAGGTACGACTGGATCTCCTCCACTGCCTGCTGTAGGAAGCGTCTATTAGAGCCCACACCAACATAAGTCATCCTGTACACAGTCACAAGGGTCTCCAGCAGCCAGCCCAGAGGGTGATGAGGGGTATCACAGGCCTAAAGGGAGTTAGTAACCACCCCAAACTTTTGAACAGTAGTATAACTGCATTATGTAAGAAATGATTAAACCAAATGGCATTTATTTTAAATGAAAATCATATACATCTTACAATATCAAAATCAAGATGAAGACTATGTGACCACCTGTGGTTACTGTGCTAAGACATCTGTGATCTATATAAATTAAGCCAGGTCTCTTCACTAAAAATCCCCTTCACACCAGTTGGTGTCATTGCAAACATGGCTTAGAAAAGTAAATTAGTTCTGAAAAAGCTCTAGCATCATCTGTTTGCAGATGCCACTTGGATTTATATTTTGTATCTAATTCAATGACACTCTTAATTGTGACCATAAGTGTCCAAATGCTTTTTGATGCATCTGTACAGCTGTGCAGACTTGGTGTTAATAAGCCTTTGAACATCTCACCTTCAAGAGATACCGACGGATGCTGTTGTAGGAGTCAGCAGTAACAGGGCCCACATGTTGAGGAATCACCTCAAGGCTCTCCAGCATCTTAGTTTGAGATCGGCTCAGCTCCTCTGGACTATAGACAAACATAAATCACTGACGATTTATTCATGCTCTGTTCACTTACATTCCTGTGCATACAAATAAAAAAGTTTTGTCTTTTGTGTACCAAAGTTCCAGTTTGGTGAACTATTGAATTAGTATTTGTTATTTAATTTTAAAAAAAGAAGCCCTGGAGTGTAACATTAAACCCTTAACTATATGTTGCAGAGTATAAAGCATTTTGTACTGTATGTTACAAAGTGTGATCACACCTTTACTTGTTCATCGTTTTGTGTGTGTGTGTGTGTGTGTGTGTGTGTGTAGTGCTCTGAGGTGTATCTCTGTTGTCTGTGTCTGGCAGTGAGGGCGATGGCGATGTTCTCCCAGGCTTTCTCATGCACTCCTTCTCCAGGACCTTCACAGCCTAATCGACTCCAGCACTCATCAAACACTGCCTTCCACTTTTCTTCTGCAGGCACTGCGTGTTGACCAGCCACACTACACACACACAAACGCAAACACAGATTAAAAAATACAAATAAATATGCAGTAGGTCAAAGCATTATTCATGACACACTTACGGTATCTTTCTTTCTCTCCTCAAAGCTTCAAAGGGTTTTGTAAAAGTTCCAGCCACTCTTAGACCGGCTCCCCAGTGACCGTCAAAGACCCCATCCAAAGAGTCACCATTAGGCATGAACAGAACGCCCTTCACATCCATAAAACCACAGGAGATTCAGATACACAGAAGCATTCACATGCACAAATCACAAATAGATTTTCTATAGATTTACTGTGACAGAAATTGGTAAAATTAATTCAAAGATACCTTTCCGCACAGAGTCCAGTCCTCTAAAAACTCTCCCTCAAAGACTGTGTCATCATCACAGAGAAGAGTCCCATTGCCCTACATCAGACAAAAGACATAGTAAGTTGCTCAAATAATAGTACACACTGTATCTAGCGCCAAAACAGCTAAAGAAGTGTATATTTAATATAAGCAATTTACAGGCACTTCAATGCAGGCATATAATAACATCTCAACTGACCATCATCTTGTTATTACAGAAGATTCCTTCATAATACATTCCAAACTGAGTTATAACGACTCCGACTCCATGACGCTGGTCATCGAGCCACATTCCCATGTATTTCTCTCCTCTGGGAGATATAAAACCATATTAATGAATTGTTCAGGAGGATGTTTAAAATCTCAAATTTGATAACTACAATGAACATACCTGCTGAAGTCATCACACACCCCATAGCCTGTTCTCTTGCCTTGAACCCACTGGCCCACAAACACACTACTGGAGGAAGGAGAGGCTAACTTTCCACTCCGTAACATGCCGTGACCATGACACATGTTGTCCCTGAATGAGCCCTCGTATACCTCACCTGAAGCATACCTGCAAAGACCACAATCAGACCATGGGCAAGGTACTAGATGGCAACTATAACAATTTAAGATGTTCAGGGTCCCCCATTAACTGATAATGGTTCAAAGAGCTTTATAATATACACATTTACATGATTATTACCAAAATGTGCCAAAGCCATGTATTTTCCCCTCCTTCCAGTGACCTTGGTAACGCTCAAACTTGTTTAAGGTTGTGTTGGGCGACATAAAATCTCCAAATCTGCAAAGAAAAGAGAAATGGTTATTCTCACCAAGGCTGCATTTATTTTATCAAGATAGTGAACAGTCATTTTGTGAAATATTATTACAATTTAAAATAACTGTTTTGTTATTAGAATCTTAAAAAAAGTAATTTATTCCTGTGATATCAAGGCTGACTTTTCAGCTGTCATTACTTCAGTCTTCAGTGTCACATGATCATTCTAATGTGTTGATTTGGTGCTCAGGAGACTTTTTTTTTTTCATTATTACCAGTGTTGAAAACAGTTGTGCTGCTTAATATTTTTGTGGAAACTGTCATGTGTTTTTATTTTATCAGGATAATTGATGAATAGAAAGATCAAAAGAACAGCATTTATTCATAACAGAAGTCTTTGCAAACACTATAAATGCTAGTGTATAACAAAGAATCTGCAAACACAGGTATTTATGTTAATCTTAAACTGTGCATACTGACCCATCTTCCAACCCGTTCTTGAATGTGCCACAGTAAACTGTCCCCTCTGGCCACTTCAGAGTCCCTCTATTAAAGAAAAGAACAGAAGTTACAGGTACATGTGAACCACAGTTAATTCAACATGCTCCACAGTGGATTCAAAGGTTTTTGCACGTTAGGCAGGACTACCACCGGTGTTCCCTGAAAAAAATATAAATGCATGACAGCCCTGCTTAAGTGATTGAGAGAAATTTTTGAAAGAATGTTTTTTATTGTATAGAGTGTGAATACAAACAGTCATTATGGGCATGCACTCACTTGCCGTGAGGTTTGCCTGACACCCAGCGGCCCTCATACGTGGCATCTTTGAGTCGGCCCTCTTTGCTGAAAGTGTAGGTAGACGTGCGTGACACAGGTGGGTCACCTTTCTGGCTGCTTCTAGACACACGTGTCCTTCCGTTCAGGCCTAAAGCAAGCACGTCCTCAATGGCCTGGTTAATGGCTCTCAGCCACTTCCCCTACCAGAAAGCCAGCGGATGGCAGAATTAACGCAAAACAGAAAAACTTCTCAACCAAATTCCTACCGCATCAAGAGCATTACCTTTTCCAAAGGGGATGTTGCCAGAACAACAAAGTTATCTTCAGGTGTGGTCAGCTTAAGGCCATGTCTAGTAATGACAGTCATAGTTTAAACTGGGGCAGAAACGTTTTTCATTGGTTGATGGGTTGACCATTCCAGACCATTTAATATTTAATGAAATGTCACGTGCTAAACTAAATTACATTCAAATGAACTAAAACTGAAAACGAAAGATAAAAGATGTTAAGATGGATAACTTACTGGCCCACACTTTCATCTGAGATGGGCTCCACCCAGAGTGTAGCAAGTGGATAGACGTAATGAGATGAGAACTGTAGAAACAGAGAGAGAGAATTTAATCAGTTACATTATAAGCAAACCACTGCCTCATCTACAGTATATTAAGAAGGGAATAAAACCTCTGCTCTGCTGCTGCAGATTCATGAAAATAAAATTTAAAGGTGCCATAGAATGGAAAACTGTATTTACCTTGGCATAGTCGAATAATAACAGTTTTGAAAGTGAAAGTAAAAAGCGATCGTGCATTCGAAATAAGTTTCAATGCCCCGCATATTAATAGCGGCTCCCTGATGCCCGCATTTTATATACAGTATAATTACCCAACGATATAACTGCGGGAGAATGTATTGAAATATATATTTTCCCTGTTTCTTCCTGCTGTGAGCTACTGAAATGAGCAACACTGTGAAACAGCCAATCAGAGCAGAGCTCAACATTGAGCCGCACTGTGAAACAGCCAATCAGAGCAGAGCTCAACTTTATTATTCATGACCCTTCCAAATAAGGTAAAAACAGACCATTTAATTCTAGGGACAAATCCTAGGGTTGTAAATGGACATGTAAAACCGTTTCTGGAGATTTTTTGCCCTTACCTAAGCCACATACCTTCTATGTAGATATCAGAGAACAATTTAAAATATTGTATCAATGCATTCTATGGCACCTTTAAACAGGAAATGCATCTAATTTGTGAATAAAACAGGTTTGCCTGAAAGAAAAAAACACATTAGCCATATTAAACACTGTCAGTTCCTCAAGGAGCTTCACCCACCCATTCACACAAACACACACCCATGTAACTACTCTTGCACAAGGGAAACCACACCCAACACCCAAACATATTACTACAACTACAGGCAGAAATCAACAGTTAAAAAGATCCATTTCATTTTAAGGAAATAAAAAGTATGCAACGAAACAGAACAATATGATGTGCTATGGCATGATATGATAGTATATGGGTGAAGTAGAGCCCCTCTGAGGTGTGTGAGTGGTTAGACATTGTAAAAAAAACTGTAATTAAAAGCGTGTGCAGACAAGGGAGGAATTGAAACATTTAAATGTCATTGCCATTTTCAAATCACTGGCAAATTAGACCAAGAAGAAACACAGACCAACCAAGCGTGCAAAGAAAACATCACAGCAGAACATACACAGTTCAAGTTTAAAAAACCACAAAGCAATATGACGCAATATGCCAGCATACCCGACAAACAAATACACACACAATGTTTTTTTTGGTTTTATGATGACTCTACATAGACATAGACACTTATATTGTACAAACATTATATTCTATCCACTAACCCTACCCCTAAACCTACCACTTACAAAAAATGGGCACTTGTAATTTTTCTAAATAAATAATACAAAAAAAAAAACTTTTAGTCTGATTTTAAAAACTATTTCCACATGGACATCTACATTTTGTAACCACATCATCAAAAATTGCAGGTTTTACTATCCTTGTGGGGACATGGTATACCTGTACCACACACGCGCACACGCTCGAAAACAACAACTGATATATTTTTAAAGTTTAAATTAATGGAGATTCAGTGTTTAAAACCAGTTTAAAACTAGGATCAAAATGTTTTATAAGTTGCCCTAACTATTATTTTTTAATTCCATTTCTGGTTTTCTGCCATTTTACTGATGTAGTACTAGTATTATTTATATACTATTATAGCATGTATTAAAATTTTGAACTAGCTTTTATCTTAATATTTTCAGTTTTCATTTGAATAATTTTGTTATGTGTTTCTGTCATTTATATTGGGTTCGTTTATACATATTTCTATATGGCTTTATTTTTATATTAGTTTTAGTACTTTTATTATTCAAGTTATTTGCCAATGCAATATTTACATTTTTTCATCTAACATTTATATTTTACTTAAGCTTTATTTAACAGTATAGTAGTTTTAGTTAACAATGCAACAAAACAATAGCAATGTTTTGCAAAAAAAAGCCAGCAATGCTGGCTAATAATGACAGGGAGAATGTGTTGCAAATGACACAAGCAAGACTTGAATTCACATTGGAATATGCACACTATCTGCCAGGCCACGTCTTCAACACACTGATCGGTTTTAAACAAGTTTAACATTGGGCACAAAATAGTTAGTGCATAAAGATTCCATGTTAAAGCAAAGTTTAACATTCACACTATCAACTCTGTTGCCCACTCTTTCCCTTAATCTGATTACAATATAGCATGACTCTACATGCATCTTTCATTGGCAGAATAATGAACTTCAATTAGAAGCAAAAAAAAAAAAAAGGGAAAAGATGCCAGCTGATGTTTCAAAAAGAAGAAACGAAGAGGCCTTAGCATGGGAACAATTTCCATGTGGACATTTCAGGCTTTATAATGTTTTTTTTTTTCAGGCTCAAATCAAGCCGTAAAGTATACACTGCTTCTGTGAAAGCAGGAATTTAAAAACACAATACTCACAAGCTTCTTTGATGGAATAGTTCCCTGAATGAATGAAGACAATAAAAAAAACATGAATAAAATGAAAAATGAGTGTAATGAAAATTACAGGGTGGTAAATTTTGTGTTAAAATTAATTAACCTGTGCATGAACCAGCACATCACTGAAGAGGATGAACCAGCTGGCAGAGAATCTTCCAGCATTCTGTAACGTCAGAGCTTTATTACTGCTCTCACAAACCAGACGACGAGACGGCTTACGCAGGGATTCCTGAGAAAGAGAAGGTCACGTAAAGAGAACGGCGCACACATGCAGACACATGACGTGTGCACATGAATCCACCCGGCCACACACAGGTTTCCACATTAACTAAACAGAAATATATCTGAAACTTATGTGGTCATATCTGACACGATTTAGTCTTGCAGCACGTTGAGCAATTCAACTTCATTAAAGGAAACAGTAACTAGGCCAACTTAACCACATTATACAGTGGAAGTAATATACTGTATAGTCACAAGTACAGGGAGGGAAATGAACACCAGCCAAACACTGGTACATTTTCACAGTGGCGGATTATATTGCATTATGCGTGAACCACTACAGCAGGCCAACATTTCTTATTATTAGTTGATTATTAAAACAATTCTCGTATTGACCCAGAAACTGTTGCTTAGTAAAGACAACATATGTGGTAAGAATGAAAAGTTCATCTAATTTGCTACTTGCCTTGATCTTAGTAGATTGTTACTGCTCAAATGCATACTGCAAGTACTCTTCACACGCACTCATTTTATAGGGATGTAACGATTAACCGCGAGCCGGTTGAGAAAATCGATTCAAATATGTGACGATTCAAATTGGTTGAGATGCTAAACAAATCGCGATTCATTTAGAGGTAGGAGTTTATATGAATGTATGTCTGAAGGGAAATTAGTCTTTAGAAAAGTTTAGATGGTATTTTTTCTTTTTATAATGCAGCGCTGCTTTGCTTTGTTTACAGCCGAAACCAAGGAAA